AAAAAACCCAACAAAATTTGTCTTTTACTTCTCTACACACACTAACAGATCTAAATATGACTCTTTTATACAAGATAAGCTAATCTAATAACCTTATGTGGTCCTCTAATCTCAAGTTCAAACAGAATTTGGTAAATTGGATGCAAATGATCCCAAAAAAGCCCCACTTAAAGATTTCATCTCATCTCATCACTATACATCCAGAAGCCTTACAAGAATTTTAATTTTTTTTTTTTCAAATAAAAAGGTGAGAACAACAAACTATAAGACAAACTCATAAAACTACAAAAATTTAAAAAAAAATAAAAATAAAAAATTACCTCTCCTTTAACCTTCTCCCTTTTATCAATTCACAAAAGCCCCCAAAGCTTTCCTTCACTCTGCAACATATACATGTACAGAGAGAGAAAGAATAAATCAATAAAATTGGAAAATTCGAGCTATAAACAGCATGAGTGATACCACTTGATAACCAAAAAAAAATCCAAAATACAAGCGCAGCAAACGTAAAAATCCGATCTTTACTTCTCTTTTTGCCCTAATTCAAGCAAATGGGCTGTTTAATAAACCCAATTAGCAACACGTAACAGGGATTAAGTGTGTGAGAGAGAAACCCCATTTCACAAAATCCCAGCAACAAACACAGAAAGAAGAAAAAGGGCTAAACTTCTTTTTTTTTTTTTCTCNTTTTTTTGGCAATGGCAAACTCACCATACATACAAAATAGATACAAGTCTGAAGAGGTTTTATAGAGATAGAGATTAGAGAGCAGCTTTAGTGCAGCAGCCACGGCGGATTTCACATTCACTGTGTGCGCCGGAAAATGGGCTGGAGTGAAAAAAGGATCCCGTTATCAGCCACTAAAAACTACGTAAAAATAGTCAACTCTCCGATTTTCTCTCTCTCCAAATACATACGAACTTCATCGGATTTCAAGTTACAAATACAAATCTCATTGTCTCACCGACTTATAATGTCGTGACAATGTTTGAAGTGTCCAACCGTTTTATGGAATAGTAATAAATAGTGAGATTTGGAGACAATTAATGAGGCAATTAAGTAAGGAGTTTGCTTGGATACAAATCTATCTATATATATATAAAGAGGGAGTTGATGGAATTTATTGCTAAATAAAGATGATATGCAATGACTATAATTGGCAACATTTCTACATTTGGTTGTAAAATTGTATGTTTAATTATTTTTGCATTTGTCAATAATACTTTAGATCCGTGTTTCTATTTGCACTTTCTATTAACTTAACTAAATTAGTATCCAATTAATAATTCAAATTAATATGGAATCTACATTAATATTTATGCGACTTATTATTCAGCTACCTTTGAAGTTCTTAAAAGTTATTGATTGAGAATTTTAAGTAAAAAATCTATATAAAAATAATAAAAAATTTCTGTTTCAATTTTTCTAAAAATAAAAAATCAATTTTAAGTATGAGAATCATTCTGATATTTAATAATGCATAAAAATATATATTTAATAATACATAAAAATATATATACCACCAATTAAGATAATGACACCCAATGATACCATAAATATACAACCCTATAATTTTACCATAAATCTATATCTATATCTATGTCTATACGTATATCTATATAGTGGACCAATCTTTATTGTCATAATTGACATAATTTTGGGCGAAAATTTTTTTCATCTATATTTGTCATTTAATTAATATTTATTTATTAGCAAATCATATGCATAAAAAATATAATTAATTTTTATACACTCAATGAGACAATAACTATTACTCATTAACTACAAATTGACTTAAATTAAAATTTTGACTGTAAATTTATTAGATATATTTTAAGTAAGATCTTCTATTAATTTAATAGTAATTTATTAGCATAATTCAAAAGATTATTATGAAAATTGATTTGATTAAATATATTATCATCTATGGCAGTAGGTATTAATTTAATTAATTATATTCACTATTCAAAAGTACTTAAAATATTTAATAAAATAAGTAGAATAACTATGTTTAAATCATAATAACTTAACAAATAATCTAAAATATTAATAAAAGTTTCAAATATGTAGTCAATTTAACTATAAAAATGTACATCCCCATTGAATATATCACATGCAGTAATAATAGTATTGAAAATTTAAATAATACTAATGAAAATAAAATTTGATGGTCAGGTGCAATTCAAAATTATAAATTCCACCTTAGAAGTACCTATGTACATTAAAAACTATCCAATTTTTGAAAATATTTATTTTTTTCTTATATACTATTTTATAAATGAAAAATAAGTTAATAAAAAAGGAATGTATAAAAATTTAGATTATAGCACTTGGTAATCATGAAAATATATAATATATCAAAATATTCGAATAGATACTATGTAACTCATTATATAGGTTGAAAAAATAAATTAAAGAAATAAATATAAATAAAAATAGAAACATAAAAATAAAATATTTAACCATAAAAAAATTGTGTGTTGCATAAGGATTAAAGTCACTAAAAATTAAAGTTTGTTTATCAAAGTTTTTAACATTTAATGCATTTAATAATTCTAGAGGAAGATAAATATTATGGGTTAAACGTTGGCCAATTATCAAGCAATGTGCAAATTATGAATTGTTAAAAAAATTATAAGACTGTAATAAACGACAATTTTATAAGTACATACAAATAATTTGTATGCAAATATCATATGATCTTATACATTTATAATATTTTATAAACTTATAAATAATAAAATTTATAATATTAGATAGTAAAAAACTACAAAAAAAATATACAAAAATAGAAATTAACAATAATATAAATAAATAAATGTCATATTATTACTGAATAGAATATTGTGGAGAATATAATTTCATATTATCTTAAATAATTTTATGATACTTCAATAATAAATATTTTTTGTATTGCACCCCGTGCATCGCACGGGTATCAACACTAGTATATCTATTCAAAATGAGTTATTTTTGTTAATCAGGATTAATTTTATAAAAATTTGTATGATTAATTTTTAGTGGAATTTTAAGTTTATATTAAAATAAAATAATTACAGTTGATTTGATATAAAAGTAGGAGAGACATGATGTGAAGTGGCGGTAAGTTAAAATTATGTGAGTAGATGAACATTGAATTAAAATTGATGTGATGTTTAAGAATGATTGGTTTGTATCATTTAATTATATTGATAATTGATAATATTAAGAATAATGATATTTAATTAAAATTGAGTTATATTTTAAGTATAAGTTGAATGTGAAATAAAATAATTGATAAACAAGCATGCCCGAAGTAATGGGTTTGATTTAGAGATGAGTGGAGCTATTATACCTGATGATCTAGTCTCGATTCGTTAAAGATCATACTCAGTTTATAAATGAATTTAACTCGAGTTAGTTTAAAAATTGTTTAGTTAATGGAAACTCGAAAATATGAAATTTTTGTGTTATTTTATAGCTTGGCAATTCAATCTCATCTCGTTAATATTTAAAATGTTACTTTACAATGTCAACCACTTACTTAAAAGCAATGTTTCGCCCTACATCAATTAATGGGCTTCTCTCTGTTGCAATCAATTACTAATCATAGGTAAGGAAACATTACATTACCAAATGTACCTAAGTAGGTGAAACCTTTCTACAACATATTTATGATATTTGCACCTCAAAGAAAGAAAATAATAATATTAAAAATCACTTTAATATCAAATATACAGATGACTTTCTATATTATTTTATTCATCATTAAAATGGTATAATAATGGGTAATAAAATATTTCTTAAACAATTATAGTTTACATTTAAGAAAAATTACAATTTACGAGGGCTAAAATTGTAGAATACATTAGGGAAACTTGGAGCGGATATCAAATTTTGCTCAGGTAATTTCACCATTGTAGAAGGTACTCACCAACTATTCAAATCCCGAGCATTCTACCTAGACACGTGAGGGGGTATTTTTATAACAAATACGTAGCCCGTGCGATGCACGACACATAAATGTTAAATGAGTCACTTTCATATGCTATGTCCATTTAAGCCCTAAAAATAAAACTGAATTTTCTCTCTTAAGACTAAAAACGTTACTAAATCAAGCCAATATAACTAAAATTACAATTTAGCCTAAGAACTAACTTCCACGTAAAATGATAAAAACCTAATTTTAGTTTTATTAAAAAGAATTTTTATAAGAAATCAAACTATTTAAATAAAAAGTCAACTTTGACAATGGGTTGGTGAGTAGTTTTTATTGGTCTTTGTATTTTGCCATACTGTGCTCGACTTTATTTATTAGTGGACATTTGTGGAAAGTGCAGAAATTTTTTAGCGAATTCTTTACATAACCCAAGTTGGTGAGTATGTAAGAAATTTAACGGGCATATTCATAACTATTAAGCGGAATTGAATAAACCCTACGCATGTAATTCTATCAATTCATAGAATATGGATCTTTTGCATAAATTAAATTGCACAGAACTTACAAGAATCCAGCTTATAGTCCTTCCCTGTTTTCTTGATCTATGATGTTGATCTGCCATCTCTTCCTCGTAATCTCATGGATCTATCTTTTTCATAATCTCCAATGATAGATTCGCCTTTGCCTATGAATTGTTTCTCTCTCCCGTGTCGCTCGTCTTTTCATAAAGCCCTTGATGTTGAGAACTTTATTTCGTATGAGATGGGAGAGAGGGGCATGTAGTATATATAGGAGGAATCCTACAAACCTATTCCTACTAACATTCCCCATGTTCTAACCTAACTTACTGTCCAAGTCAAACATCACAAATTGGACTCTTTAATATTAGAACATTAAATAATCCATTAAATAAATATTCACCTTAAATAAGTTTGACTATTAATTCAATTAGGTCCAACTAATTATATGGTCCACAATAATAGAATAATATAAAATATTATTACATTCTCCCACTTGGACCATATAGTGTCGAAACCAAAAGAACTACTTTAAGCGCGCACATTTCATCAAACTTATGATTGAATACATATATCTATAAATTTAAAATCAAACTAGAAATTAACCGAGTCATGGCGGTCACAAGTCTTCGAGCGACATGATCCCTTCCATGTACCACAAATCATTTCTAATTCAACTTTGCTTTAATATGGAACAAGCTATTCGTACCATAACCATAAGCCATCCAACTTTTATGTATATACTATAAAATCAAATATCCATAATGATGGTATTATATGTGAAGAATCAAACATCTTTAATTGAATTCAATAAGTGTCAAAATCAATAATTGAGCAATTTCATTCAGTATCGGTCAGTCCAACAAGGCCCCATTCGTTATTCCCAGCTTTCTTTATATGCCTTCCAAAGGCTATAGGGAATAACCCTTTTAATGGATCCGCTTTCATGCAATAGTACTAAAATGCTCAAATGACACTTTATTTTTTCTTCACTTATATTTTACGACTAAGTATTTTAATTTCATGTGATTCACACCCTTTGAATACTTGTCATTCCTTGAAATATTATTGCTACGATACTGCGATAATTCTTAGCGGCTTGGACAAGATGTCGACATTTTCAAGTCCTAAGATAAAGCACCGTAGCCCTAAATTTGACTTGTGGCCTCAAAGCACACCACAAACTCAACCCTACACCGTGGAAGTCGCGATGATGGACTTTTGTTCCACCTTTCCATAATTTTGCTCCTTTAGACATTATGAGCAAAAGTCTGAATCCGAGTATCCAATAATAACCAATAATTTGGATCTTCTTTAAGTTAGCATGTGTTCTTTAATGCCTTGTAAGTACTTTAAAAATTTCTTTGCAGCATTTAAATAATCGTTTAGGGATTACTTTTATATTTGCTTAACCTACCAGCAACAAATATGTTATCAAACCTAATACAGGTTTGTCCTTCTTAAGATTCCTAATCATTTATATCTAAGAAATTTCCTCCATCACTTTTCATTTCATTTCACCTTTCGGACATATATTATACTAAATGTGTCCCTTTTATGAATTGGAATTATACGGAACAACCAT